TGCATCTTGATTTGAACTCCGCATATGTAGCTAGTGCACTAGTAGTAGTAGTAGTACTAGCTAGCTGCTGCATCGAATTTTTATCTATCTACTGCTCGTTTGCACCACCCGCATATCTTTAGAGCGCTATCATCATATCCTAGAAGGGAAAATTTGATTGAGGACACGACAATCAAGGTGGAGGAGAAGCTAGGGTTTAGGATTGTCGTATAGATTTTTCATGCTTGTTGTAGAAAGTGCGCATGCAAATGCGTACGAGAGTTACAGTTTTTGTTATTAGACAGTAAGCATACAAATCATATCAACCGATGTTAGGCAATGAATTGTGATGAAATTGTTTGCTATATCTAGTTTTTTGGTCTGTTCTACCGTATTGTTTATAGATATACTGTGATGTTTGCAGACTCCTTTGTCCAAGCCCACTATTTGGCGACTTTCTTATTGTGCATCCACCATAAACGTGCTTATTTCATGAATTAGATTTTGATTTTCCATGTGTTAACAGAAAAGAAGGAGGTAATTGCAAATTCTGAACCGCCAGATCACGAAGGAGAGCAAGCCTTGCTTGATTTCCACCCTTCTGCAATTGATTGGTCTTTCTAGTCGGCTGAGTCTTGCCTGATATTCTCATGGTATGCTCCTTCGCCATCTTAATCTATCACCTCGTTCTTTGATGCTTGTGTTTAGGGTTCGGATTTTGGTGCAGCGCATGGTTATACTTTTAGAGATAAGGTTAGGTCGTGGTTATTGTCCGAGTCTTTAAGATTCTTTTTTTTTTCTGTCTCCAAGGACTCGTTTCTGCTGAGATTCTTGCTGGCGGACGAGCAGGTTCTTACTATGGTGCGCCTCCTCCACCTCAACTCTAAAAAACCTCAACTCTAAAAAAATCTTGTGGAAAAATGAAGATATTTTGTTTGGGGCGCCTCAAGAACAAATGGACTTTGTTATTTGCTCACACAATATCAACATAATCAATTATGTTTTAAATTTTTATATTTGTTTTTGTCATATATAATTTTTCTCATCTTTTCGCAGCTTGATGGGGTTCGTTTATTGAACACAAATAACGATGGGATTCTTCTAGTGACAAATTTCCAGTTTCTCTTTGTGGTAAGTCTACGTTATGGGGGTCTTTTTACACATCATCCTACTGCTGTTCATCTAATGAGTACGGTCTCTTTTGTAGAGTAAAGGAGAAAAAAAAAAGTTGGGCACGATCCCTCTGACTACAATTGCCAAAATTGAGGACATCACGGTGAATTTGTAGGTTACCTTCATTGCAAGCTTTATTCCTACTATCATTATTTGATAAGAAACGTGTTGCCGGGATGGAGGTGTTGTACGACTGTGCTTAGTGGGGGAGGAGAGAGAGGAGCAACTAGGATAACTTATCATCGGCTTTGATTGGCGTGGGCACCACCTTGCCATGTAGCAGGGGAGGCAGCGAAGAAGTAGCAACAGGAGGCGGCTCATCACATGTCTTGTGGGCAACATGTAAGACATCATGAGTGTGAATTGATGGCAGTAGCTCAAGGTGAGACAGGCAGTGATGTGATAGTGAGGGCCTAGCTTGCCCTTTGCCACCCTAGGAGACAACTTGGTACACAGTGATGAAGACGCAACCAAACCTAGTCATCAACGTCGAAGTGAAGATAGTTCACCCATCTAGAAAGAACAGGTAAAAAGGAGTGCAGGCCAAAAGCTCTCCAGTTTTTGGAAAACTAGCCTACAACAACCCTACAGACTAAAAACTACATCCAGCGCGCTGCAACTAGAGAACAGTACAACCGAGGGGAATACAGAGCAAAACATTACATCCAGCAACTGAACTTAAACTTGAACTCAGCTATAACAGAGAATAACAACAGGGTAGCTCAAAACTAGCCTGCAACCCACAGTACCGCAGGCGCCCAGCCTCGCTTTCAACTGAAGATCTCATCTGCCACTCGCATTAGAAGTTTTACCCCGTTGACTAGCAGTCCTTGTTCGTTTCTGTAAACAAGCCTAAAATGTTAGCCAATGCGACGCCTGAGTGATGACACTCGAAGGGTCATAAGGAAAGACATCATGGAAATAAGCTGCATTCCTTGTCTTCCATAATGCCCAAATAACAACAGGAATTCCTACAATAACTAAGCTTCTAGCTTTTGACTGTCGTACTTGAGATCCATCTGCTCAAATCATATACAAAAGTTAAGGTTATGTCCAAGTTGCAAGCACAATCTGCCGCACCCCAAGCGTATCTTGCCAAAGAACACCTAAGAAAAGATGGTCCAAGTTTCTGCATCACTGCATAACATGCACTTACCGCTACCTGTCCATCCCCTCTTTGGTAGATTTTATTTTGTCTGAATCCTATCTCTATTCTCTAAACATCAGCCAGATAAACACCTTTATTTTCAAAGGAATTTTAACATACCAAAACTTTCTAAAAGGACATCGAACTTGAGCTATGTCCAGAGTAATGTACAATGAATGTACAGTAAACGGCCAGATTATTGTGACCTGTGTTTAAGAGGGAGGGAAAGAGAGAGAGGGTTAGTGGTTGTTTTGCTGAAATAGATTAACGTGGTGGATAAAGTGAGATTTAAATTAGTACATGTGAAAGTTGGTTGCATGAACATCTAATAAATTATTCATTGCACAGGTTCTATTACAAGGGAAAATCAAACAGTCTTTGCAGCAGGAGCAGGCTGTAAGGTCTATTCAAGTAACTGGTAAGTATATATATTTGGAGTCCTCTTTCAATACAAATATGTCTGTCTATTGTCTTTAAAAAATTAATGACTTCATATTGTTTTTTTTTCTTGTTTAGGTTACGACTCGAGAATTCTTACGTTTGCTGTTAAATCTAATCACAATGATCAGGTATGTTATATTCAAAGTTTGCACCTTCAATACAATTTACTCATGAGATAATTATGCTGGTCAATCATCTTGGGATTTTCTGATGTTATTTTTGGCAGGGAACTGTAGTTGCATGTTTGAGAAAATACGCCAAACCTGCTGATTTGCGTGGTCTATTTGCATTTCGAAATCTGTCCGTTCCACGTGCCGTTGATAATCGAGTCAGCCCTGAATTTCGGCTTTTGAAAGAATACCACCGTTTTTTTCATAAATGGTTTTCTCATTCACCAAGCACGAGTTTCGAAATTCAGAAAGTTTTGGAGAACAAATGGTGGAGGGTGACTAATATCAATTCTGACTATTCTTTATGTCAAACTTATCCAGCTCACTTGAGAGTCCCAAAAACTATAAGGTACTTCTGCCATTTGCAATGTCATGTACCCCCTCTGATCCAAATTAATTGTCGTAACTCTAGTACAACTTTGCTGAAGTTGTACTAGAGCTGCAACAACTAATTTGGATCGGAGGGAGTAATACTTTTTCGTGTACATATATGTTCAACAAATCTTACCATTTTCCCTATCACCCATTAGTGACGAAGAGCTGAAGGAAGCTTCTAAAAGCCGAAAAAAGATGCGCTTCCCTGCTATTTCTTGGTGTGACTCTGGTATGTGCGCACTCGTTTTATTTAGTTGTTGCCAAATGTTTTTCTTGAATTTGTTAGAAGTAAGATCCGGATATTATTTATTTAGCTGTCACCAACATGGAACTCGTTTTATCACAGGCTCTGGAGCTGTTTTGGCACGGTCATCTCAGCCAATCGCGATGATGGATCATAACGAGTGAGCTGATACCCATTGAAATTGGTTTTGCACATACGCTGACTTTGGAATGCCCTTAATCTGATTTTAAGTTTATTTTGTATCAATAGGGACGTGAAACTTGTATATGCCTTTTGCACCCCAAGGATTAAACCCACAGACGAATTCAGGTAATCAAATATGCCTTTTTAATCTTTTTGGTTGAGTTTGTTCTTGGTAGTATATAACTATATATATAGAAGTATAGAACTATTGGGCCTGACGAATAATTTCAGTAGCTGATGTCTGCCTAGTTGAATTATTGCCTTTTACGCTCCTCACTCAATTTTTATAAGATTTTTTTTTACTTCCTCTAATACCTATCGGTTATAAACAGTTGCAATAATACCACTGTTATTTTGCTTGCAGTGTGAACAGAAAATTATACATAGTTGATTGTCGCCCATGGACTAGCGCTCAGGCAAATAAGTTAACACGTGGTGGAACAGAGTCAGCTAGTACTTATCAAGAAGCTGAGGTAAATGATATATGTATGAATTGGGTAGTACTTGTTGCCTAGTGCTTCCATAGCATTGCTTTGTCCTTTGTTTCATCTCTTCATTCTGTTGGCGCCGGGAACAGATTGTGTTTTTAGGAATTCTGAATATCCATGATATTAGAGGCAGTTTTACCGGCCTCCGGGAGTATGTCAATGCTTACGAATCAATTCATCAAGTGGACTCCCTTTAGGTGGATCTGTTCTTGGAGACCTGGTAAGTCTATGGTTTCCCTAACAGTTGAGAACTACCCCAAGGAATATGCATCTCTCTTGAGGTCTGTTAGATACCCAGATAGATTTCACACCCCCAGCATCCACTGTTTTCATGTGTATAAATTTTATATGATATGTCATTTCTCACCGGACAAGATTGTAACTTCCCATGTTTGTATGATGTTTTTTAATTAATAAATATTCTCTATAATGCAGGCAACAAAAAGCTTCCTTTGCGGAAGTTATTTACAAGTTTTAGGTATAGAGCCATGTGGTCATTTTTAGACTCCTGGCCAGTGGTTCAGTATTCTAATTTAAGCTCTAGTGGCTTAGTAGAAGTATTTGACTTCATCATACTAAGATAATGTCTACAAGTTAGTCGTGAACCATTGTGAAGAAAATGAGATTGACGATTTATTGTTCTTTTTCCAGAAAAATCATCAATTAACTCTAGATAAAAGGATAGGCTCTCCCAAAGCCTTAGGAATGGCTAAATTATATTCGGAGTATACTGGTTGGGGCTTCATGGATCGCTGAAAAAATTGCACAAGAATCAGCTTCAGTTCTAGTCCACTGCAGGTCTTCTTTTACAATACGCATCTACTATCTTATTATCTGCAAGATTTGTTAATTGAATCAATTCACTTAATGTGGTAGATCGAGAATTTCGATGATGTTTTCTGTGCCTACATGTATCAACCTTGAATTTGTGGACATGCATACAAGCGCTTGTGTGGATGTGTAGGAAATGTTTGTTATTCTCTGCAAGGCATATTTGTACCTTACCAATTAAGAGAAGTAACCCATGATCTATGCTAATACATGAAAAATTGTTGCACTAGCAAGGGGAAAACAATCTGATTTTAGACCCTCACTTTGGCTGTATGGCATGAGTCTGCTTTTCAACCTAGAATTTCAAAACCATCTATAACACAACCTTGCTACGTTCTGGAATAACTAGATAGCTTACTTCATCAATTGCTTGCACTCTGGATTCTGCAAATATTAATAATTAGGCTACCTGAGATGTGTCACAACCTGAAAAATTGCTCTTTGTATTCTTGTATGCATTATTATTTTTTGGGTATAAAATAATGGTGAAACCACCTTGAGAGGTTATTGAATTTGGAGTTCTTTGTCTTCAGTGTACGCTTATTTGGCAGTGGTGCCAACTTATTCACTCCATTTCAGTGCCTGTAGCTCTTTTAATAATTCATAGCTGGGATTGCATGCCAATCATTGAAATGGCTGAACTATTCCTAGTAGGCTCCATGCTGGCCTTTGTATAATTCTGGTGTTGAACCTGACCTCCATAACCAAATGAGCTACCACTAACTTTAAACATCGCTTAATCTAGGGTATGATGTTTGTGTGACTTGCTTTGTTAGATACTTTATATGCACCAAATACATGGAGTATAATGTTTTGTGTTCTCTGTTATACGAAGGTTGGGCTCTTTCCTCATTGTAGGGGTGTGAGTGATATTTCGCCGTAACTCTTTCATTAGGAGTAGTGGCTTCTGTAGCATGTATTTTAGGTACTTTATATGCACCAAATAAAATGCGTTGACATCAATTTCCTTATTTTATTACAACTTGTTTGGATGTTTGACAAGTTGGTGGCTCTTATATTCGTTGGAGCACAGGCACATAGGTTTTCACTTGCATGCCTTGTTGTTTTTGGCTTATTGCAACTGTGCTGGCTACTACTTAACTAATTCACACCTAGGTTTCTGAGAAACTGGTTATGGAAAATAAGCCTAGCCTAGGCCTGCTATAGTTCCCTCCAGAAACTGTGCGAAGCATGGGTGGTCAACTTAAGTGTAAACACAAATTTGAGCTAAGCAGCAGTCTATGTTTGGTCACCTTTTGGAGCTTGTGATAGAAATTCAATCTAGAAGTTTAAAATAGGAATCAATGCCATTTTATTTTCTTAATCCCGGTATCTGCTAGACTTCAAATGCCAGTTGCCTTGTTTAGGTCTCATGCAATAATCTAGTAATTCTTTAGATGCCATTTAGGTTGCGTGATCTTTCTATCTTTGTCGCTTCGTGTCTTTAAACAGCTGCTGATTTTTCTTTTTTGCTTTTGCAGTGATGGCTGGGACAGAACAACACAGTTAGTTGGACTTGCTTCTATCCTGCTTGATCCGTATTATCGAACATTCTCTGGGTTCCAGGTACAGACTGCAGATACTAGAAACTTTGTAATGCAGTTGGCAGCAGAATAGTTTTGATTATTTAAAGTGTTTTAGTTTGAGTTCAACATTAGAATTTACGTTTACTTATCTATTTGCTTAAAATAGAAGCACATTTGGGTGATGTTTCTTGAGAGTACCTGTTGCATTCGTGTCTTCACATGATAAATGCCCTTTTAACTTTGAGATTAGAACTACAATTTTTTTGACACCATGAACTTATGCATCGAAATTGATTGCAACATTCATGCTGTCTATACTTTCTGCTTGCTATTTTACTTTAATTGTGCCTGCAATAGTGCCACTGGCATTTCTCACATTATAATATGATGGATGACTCAGCTTTGGATACATAACACTGTTTCACCACATCATTTTAGGCCGTTGTGGAAAAAGATTGGTTGGCTTTTGGTCACCAGTTTGCAAAGAGGATGGGCCTTCCAACACTAGGTGAAAAAGAGCAGCCAAATGAGAAGGAAATTTCACCAATACTATTGCAGGTAGTTCGCTAGTGCTATTTTTATCCTTTTTTCCGAGGCAGGTATCATGTCAAACAGGTGGTGACACTGTTTAGTTTCAGCACAAAACACACACGAAGGGTCATCAACTGTTCTTCTTTTAGCAAAGACTATTCCTAGTCAACAGTTTATTCTTGCTAAGTAACCACAGACTATGGATGCACGGGGAAACAGTGATTCCAAATGGATGGAGTATAAACCTGAGTAATGCCTCGATTGTTCACAATAGCATAGAAAGACTTAACGGAATATGTTCCAGAAGGATTATTCATCCAGATTGGACAATCACTATCATTAGACTGAGTAATACCACGAGCAATCTCAAGCAGTTCATACCACTGTGACATGAGATGTTGATTCACAGTTCTGCGAAGTAAGCTTCAGGCTTACTCAATCCCAAACGTCAGCCACAGATTTATTTTGTTCATGAATAATCATGTATAAATCCCAGTATTGAGTAGCAAGGCAGCAGTGCCCAAACCAATTATCCTCCCAAAACTTCACTTGTTTACCATTACCAATCTTCCACATATACCCCCCATTCTACTAGATTCAGCAGCCCAAGGCACTCCTTTCCAAAAAGGAGATACATTAGTATCAGATGTCCAATGTATGTCAGGCTGAGACATGTTATATTTAAAATCCACTATCTTCTTCCAAAGATTGTTCTCTGCCAAATGGCACCTCTTGATCCAAGAGGCCAACAGGCACAAATTGAAGTCTCTCATATCATGGATCCCTAAACCACGAAGCCCCTTTTTTTCTGACACACCAAATCCCAGTTAGCCAGGTGGTATATGTGCCGGTCCCCCAAATTATCCCCAAAGAAATGACTCATTTGAGATTTTGTTGCGTTAATTGACCATTTCGGAAACTTGTTAGTCATGAGATAGGAAGAATACTAGATAAGCATGATTTAATCAACGCAAGCATAAGAAAGAAACTTGCCACTCCAGCCAGGAATGCAATTCATCTCCTTATCCACCAGTGGTTGCAAGTCCTCTTTCACAGGTTTTGGGGAGTGCAAAGGAGCACCCAAAAAGGGCAGCCCGGTGCATGTAGCTCCCGCTACCGCAGGTTCTGGGGAAGGGTCCGACCACTTTGGGTCTATTGTACGCAGCCTTTCCCTACATTTCCGCAAGAGGCTGTTTCCAGGACTTGAACCCATGACCTCATGGTCACAAGGCTGCAGCTATACCACTGCGCCAAGGCTCCCCTTCAAAGGAGCGCCCAAATATTTAAAAAGAGAAGATCCAAGCTCACAATAGAAAATCTGGGCGTAAACCCTCTCCTGAGCTTCATCCATGTTAGCAGTCATCAAGTCACTTTTGTTATAATTAAGTTTTATCTTGGAAAGAGATTCAAAGTAGGTGAGCAACCATTTAGATTTCTCGCAAAGGCGACGTCCATTTTCCATGAAAGGATGGTCTCATCAGCGTAATTCAGATAGATGATATCACCAGCAATATCCTGATTAGATTTGAAATAGCAGCTTTCTCCAGCATCTTCGTAAGCGCACCTGCAACCAAGTTATATTATCCATACAATTTGGGTTTGTCTATGGAGATATGTGTTTTTACGGGCCTTGTAATTAATATGATCTCTTATTTTTTTCAGTGGTTGGAATGTATTGCTCAGCTGATGCGCATGTACCCGTCTGCATTTGAGTTTTCATCCGTAAGACTTCTTGTCTTGCTACTATTTGGATATGCTGAAATTATAAGGCTCTTCATGGATATTTATGACCTGATGAGTATTATCTTTGCAGATATTTCTGGTGGATTTTATGGATGCTGTGCTATCGTGCCGTTTTGGTAACTTCCTATGCAATAGGTAACTAATCTAGCTTTACGTTTCATGATTACATGTGTGCACTAAGGTCAGTTTTTTATTATGTAGTCTATTAGGAAAAAGATGATAGCTGAACTTTTTTTTTCCTGGGAAAACGCAAAAGCTCTGTGTATCGATGCATTGATAGAAGGAAAGAGTCTCTACAAGCCCATAGAAGGTCACACACAGAGTTGAACACGATGCCCCTAGTCCCTAGGAACCACCTCACCGATAGCACAACCTGAAGGCCTCTCGCGCCCGCCAGACATCTATCATCTTGCTTCCGCTTGGATCGTACCACTAAGGGAAGGTGCTGCAGACCAGAGTTGCGTGGCGGGGAGACTTGACGGGGATGACATGGTGGATGATGATGGGGACCTGCCGCAGTAGGGTGCCACCCATGGCAAGGACTGTAACCAGTGTTTGTAGCGGTG